CCAGCTCCTGGACATGCCAGCCCAAGGGCGTCCTAGGAGGGGCCCTGCTGCAGGCAATTTCAGCCACACTTTATGCTATACCAGGTCCAACTGGTATGAGCCACCAAACAATTGCAGATGGCAGCCGGGGTGAGAGGTGCCTAAAGAGGCCAAGCCATAAACTCAGACCGGCTGCTGTAGTGCTGGGCTTAGGGCTGCTCAGCAAGAGGTATAGGGCACACCAAGGCCAGATGATGCTTGCTTGGGGTTTGTAAACCTTTGAGAGATTTTAGGAAAGTCTGCAGCATGAGCTAAGACAGGTCATTTGTATGGAAAAGCCACTGGAGGTGGCTTGAGTGGGCCTGAAAGTTGGGTGGAGTGGGGTCTCAGGGAACCACCATTGTGGAGCGACCAGTGTTAGCCAGGTTGATGGAGACTTAGATATGGCACCTGCCTGCATCTCCATGCCAGTAGGTGGTGTGGCTCAACAGAGAAACATGGATTCTACCAGCACTTCTGTCTGGGAGAAAGCTGCCCCTCCATCCTTTCCCTGATGCCAGACAATTCAGTTCTTTCCCATATGGCCCTCGTGCCTTTCAAGTGCTAGAGCCTAGAGTGAGTGAATCTGTACATAGGGCCCTCTGAGAGAGAAACCTGGGTCTCCAGCTGCCTCTGTCTCACTCAGCCACAACTCCACTGGTTTTCACAACCAGAAGTTGTGGAGACTTATCATCCTAGCAGTGGAACCCTAGGCTGGGGAGCCTGGTATAGAGCTGGGACCCCTCACGCCTCTGAAAGGATATCCACAGCTGAGATGTCCCTCCCAACTTTTAACTGCCACATGTGGGTGTAGGACCAACTCGTTCTATGTCTCACTTCTCCTACTCGTCTTGAGATGGCCTCTTGTGTATGTCATTAGTTTTAGGACTTCTGTTCAGCTAGACTTCAAGGAATTCTCAATGATGGTTGCTCTGTAGTTTAGTTGTAATTTTGATGTCATGAGAGGAGGCAAACACAGGGTTTACCTATTCTATCATCTTGACCAGAAATCCAATACAAACTCCTTTTACATTACCAGAATCTGAACATTTAGATTAGCAGTTCTCAAACTTTTTAGTCTTGTGATTTATTTATACTCTTAAAATTATTAAGGGTTAAAAGAACTTTGTGTGTGTGTTCGTGTGTATGTTTATGTGTAGCCTATTAGAAATTAAAACAAAAGTTTAAATATTCACTTATTAATACATTTAAAAATAATAAACTCATTACATGTTGACATAAAAAATATAATTTTTCAAAAAGTACACTTTTCGAAAAGGAAAAAACTGGTGAGAAAAGTGGCATGGTTACACGATTGAACTTTATTTAATGCCTTGCTTAATGGAAGACAGCTGATTTTCACATCTGATTCTGCATTCAGTATGTTCCAATATGTTGTTTTAATTGAAATACATGAAGAAAAAAATCTTCCTTCATGTGGATATGTAATGTGAAAGAGAAGTATTTTAAAAGCCTTTGTAGGTTGTTCTGGATGTTCTCCATAAACACTATACCCAAACTTAACAATTTATAGTTTCTAAACAGTCTCAATATAGGATCTGAGACCATAACACTGAACTTTTTTAGATTGTGACGTAAAATCCAATGGTCTATTGTCTATTTAAGTAGATTTTTTTACCCATGTATTTTTTGGTAACATTAGCATTGGTCATTTGGAAAGCAACAATTCACTGACATGTACAGATCTTCTGAATTTTATCACATTTCCAATATTAAAAAAAACCTCAAACCCACATTTGTTAATATCACGAGCAATCTCATCAGAGAAGTCTTTAAAGTATTAGGAAGTTGACACAATAGCAAATATAAGCTTTCCAACATAATGACCTTTAGGTAAGAGCTTGAATATTATCATTTGTAACAAATATTGGCAGGAGTTTTCTCTGAGTTGACAGGCTCACATTGTTCAAGAAACTGTCTACCAGATACCTGTGTCTGAATACTAGTCCACTGTACTTTCAAGTAAAAATGCTGTTCCACAAAACATAGTTATTCAGTTCTCAACTCAATTATTAGATAAGCATTTTTCTTCACAAAATACATTATACTCTGGTGTGCAACAGGAGTGCTGTATGCATACTTCTTTAATCATCACACAGAATATTGAAAATATGTGTACTCAAGGTTGGGGATCTAATTAAATTAATAATTATTTTCTGCTCTATCAAGAACAGTCTTAAGTGAAACATTTTTTTCCTTTGAGTATGTGCCAGTTAGAAAAGCAGTGATTATTATTATAGTTTGGTGCCAGTTCTTTGATTTATTCTGTGTCAGCATTTTACCCAGTGTATAAATCATATTTTTTATATTTTCTATATTTTATAATATTTTGACATTTGTGGAGTGCCTTGTTGATTGGGGGGAAAACTGCCCTTCCCAGAGCTAGCTAATTCCTAGAGACAGTAAATACCTTATTGGTGAGCCTGCCTTTCTTATACAAATCAACCAACCCCAAGTTTATACCCTCAACCATGTCCTTTATCTAACTCACACACCAAGCCAATATGTCGCCTGCTCTAAATCACTCAGGACCAGGTACCAGACAACTAGAAAACACCCCTATGACCCATAGCCTGCCAACACTATTCAAACTAGCCAATCCTAAGCTGTTTCTCCTGCGCTGCCTTGCCTTTTTTGTAGAAGCAAGCCCTGATAAAGACTTATGCTGAGGTTTTCCCCTCATTCCTTTCTGCCTCTTGACCATACCTGGTCCTTCCTCATGTGGCCTTGCATAGCATGGCATACCCCCTCATCTCAGGAAATGGTGATAATAATAACTTTCTTTTAATGGCATCTCTCTGTGTCATCACTCCATCACCTGCATATATTCAAATTCCATGAGTACTAATAAGACACTAATTATTGCTTTAGCCTCATTAGGACAAATATGAACACAGTTAAAAAGACAATCGAATTGTTATTATTAACAAAAATAGTTTTCTCCTTGTGTAACTCTCATAAGGGTCTCAGGTACTACACAGTTCATGAATCACACTTTGGTAACTGCTGGTTTGGGTCTTTCTTGTCTTTTATCTCTTTCTTTTACATTTCAGTCTTCTATCTTCTTTTGTTATAACTTTCTATTTATAGGCATTCTTAAATCTATCTAAAAGGTAAAAAGGAAATCATCGTCTAATATTTATCTCCCTCTTAGTTTTCATTTTCTGTCTTTATTTTCCCTGTGCAATGCCTTATACTTGTTTTCTGTACTCAGTCTCACATCCCATTCTCACCATGGGACCTGCTATCAGATTTTAAAGTCTATAAACCTTGGACCAAAGTAATAATATCAGTATCACCATTTCCTATCAATAAATCTCCATGTTATATATCACAATGCTCAAATTCTTGATATCTACCCACCTTGATTTTGGTAAAAAACACTCATTCTTATCCTATTTTTCAGAGTTCCTTTTCACATATTGGTTGCTTTTCTTCCCTTTATTTACATTGCCTAAGAAAATAAATATTTGTTGAATAAGTAGATTTTATTTCAGTAGGCTCTCATTGGTGTAAAGGATCTTTCTTCATCCTCAGTTCTTGTCACTATAAAAGTTCTGTAAGCTATAATAATTTGATCCATTCACAAATTGTGATTTCCTCATTTTATGTAAATGACTTTCAGATATACATTTTTTTGGCCCATTTCTCCCATCTGAATTCTAGTGGTATATTCTAATTTGCCTGCAGCAATACAGCAATCAGTTGTCTCAATCTTTTGGTTATCAATATATCAGAAGTACTAGTCATTATCTTTACTTCACTCTTATTTGTTTCTATATCTTATTTGTTCCTATAATCACCCCCTTTGGAGTATCAGGTTGATTCCATCATCTCTGTTATACTATCTTAATCTCTCCACAATTTGCATTATGTTATTTCTATCTGTGAAATATCTTTACAGATTAATATTCTCATTCGCCACTGACAACTTCCAAAATGAAAGCCATATTATTTCAGGTGTGGTCTGCTGTAATTACTACTTGGATTTGCCATGATTTTCTCCCAGTTCTTTCCGTAGTAAGGTAACAGTAGTAAGATATAGAATTTGCAAGAAAAATAATAGGTAGGGTCAATTGGTGCCATCCACATACATCGGAGAATACAGTCCTTCACAGCCCCAATAGGGAATAGCAGAGTTTAAGGTATGTTACTGCATTGGGAGGAAAATTTGAACCCATCCTTCTCTAAAACTAAAAAAGTAATTAGCAAATTAAAAGGAAAAATTAGAATTGGTGGCGAGGAGAATTTAATTATTGACCATCACTCTAGAAGAATAAATTGATGTAGCAGCAGTTAGTGATTATGTTCATGTTGCAAGTATGCTTTGTCCTCTGGTTTATTTTATAATTCCTAATGGAAGTAATTTCCTAGTTCTTCCCTTTCAAGAGAAAATAAATCAGTTATATGAGGAGTTATGGCCTAGACTATAGACTAGTGTTTCTGTCAACACTAGGAAATGAGTGTTGAGAAAGTTCATTTGCCATGGAAGGGCTAAATGCAAGTGAAGAAAAAAAAAATTGGAAGCATTTTATAACACTTATTTAGGCATAAGTAGATAAATATATGGGTTTGATCTCTACCTGAACAGTTTTCCTTGCTTACTGTTTAGTACTCTTGATAGGCTCACTCCATTCTCTGAAACTGCCTATTTCAAGAACAATCCCACTTCTACCATCTTTTGGTTACTTGTCCTTGTGTTTATTACACCTGCACAATGTAGCTTATATTTAAATATGCCAAAGATACGTGGTTTTTGCTTATGCCAATTTTTCACCATTTTAACAGTATAGCAGGATTTGTGTTTGTTCCACGCATTTTTCCTACCAAGAGATAATTTATTTTTGCCCTTCTATAGACCACAGTAGTGAGATAGTCCCACCATGCGTTGTTTGTCTATACATTTAATCCATCACCTTTATATGAAGACTCACAGTCTTGTTCATTGTATTCTTTTCTAGAAGATGGGAAAGCTGAAGATGTTTTAATGAAGTTAAAAGAGTACCAAGATAGTCATTTTAGATCAATTGTATTCATCAACCACAAAAGACTAATTAAGGAAAGAAGTAATATTTTGGAGAAAACACTTACCGTAGGCAAGAACTGTATTATTTCAAAAAGAACACTGCATGAACATAAACCTGATGGAAGGGTTTTGAAAAATATTTCAGAATTAGTCATTAGAAATATCAGCCCTGTAAGAGAGAAGCTTGGTGAGAGTAATGGATGGGAGAAATCATTCCTCAATACTAAGCATGAGAAAATTCATACTGCAGCGAGTCTTTATAAACAAACAGAAAGGAGTCTGAGTGGTAAACAAGAGCTTATTCAACATCATAAGGTTCAAACTCCACAGCAATCATTTGAACATAATGAATGTGAAAAATCCTTCCTTATAAAAGGAATGTTATTTACACATACTAGAGCTCATAGAGGAGAAAGACCGTTTGAATGCAATAAAGATGGAATAGCCTTCATCAAAAAGTCAAATCCCAGTGTCCATCCACAAAATCTTATGGAGAAGAAACCCCATGCATTTAGCAAATATGGGAAATTCCTCTGCAGGAAGTCCATTTTTATTATACATCAGAGATCTCAAACAGAAGAGAAACCCTTTCAGTGTCCTTACTGTGGGAATAGCTTTAGAAGGAAGTCTTATCTCATTGAACATCAGCGAATTCACACAGGTGAGAAGCCGTATGTTTGCAATCAGTGTGGAAGAGCCTTCCGTCAAAAGACAGCCCTCACTCTTCATGAGAAAACACACATAGAGGGGAAACCCTACATTTGTATGGATTGTGGGAAGTCATTCCGCCAGAAGGCAACCCTCACTAGACATCACAAAACACATACAGGAGAGAAAGCCTATGAATGTATTCAATGTGGGAGTGCTTTTAGAAAGAAGTCGTACCTCACTGATCATCAGAGAACTCACACAGGAGAGAAACCATATCGATGTAATGAATGTGGGAAGGCATTTATCCAGAAGACAACCCTCACTGTCCACCAAAGAACTCACACAGGAGAGAAACCCTATATTTGTAATGAATGTGGGAAGTCTTTCTGTCAAAAGACAACCCTCACTCTCCATCAAAGAATTCATACAGGGGAAAAGCCCTATATTTGTAATGAATGTGGGAAGTCTTTCCGCCAGAAGGCAATTCTCACTGTCCATCAGAGAATACATACAGGAGAGAAATCCAATGGATGTCCTCAGTGTGGGAAAGCATTTAGTAGGAAATCAAACCTCATTCGCCATCAGAAAACCCACACAGGAGAGAAACCATATGAATGTAAAGAATGTGGGAAGTTCTTCAGTTGTAAGTCAAACCTCATTGTCCATCAGAAAACTCACAAGGTAGGAACCATGGGAATATAATAAAAGATGTGACTTTTTTGTAAAAACTTTCAAAGTCATAGTAAACCCTGTACATAATGTTGCTTGCAAGTGTAATAATATTCAGCAGTTTAAGGTACTGTACCACATTTACTTATTGTTTGCCAGCCTATAAAGCACACACAAAAGAATTACAAGACAAATTAAATGACAAAAGTCATTGAAAATACAAGCCCAATTTTTTGTTAGATTTATCAGATGTAAACTTCCTTTGTCAAGTTACTACATTTAAAATAGTTTATTTTAAATTTTAATACCTATCATGTAAACCATGACTGGCAGTGGTCTATGAACCACACTGTGAACACAAGAGTGTTAAAAAGAAAGGAGGTGTGAACTGTGTTTCTCATTGCAAATATGGAATGAAAATTATTTGTTACCTCCTCAAAGTTAACCACAATTGTGACTTCTAACATTACAAATTAGTTTTTCAATATTATAAACTTTTATATAAATTGAATTATATACCATGTATTTTTATATATATGGCTTGTTTCATTAATCATTATGTCTCTAAAACTCATTAGCGCATGTAGCAGAAGTTAATTCATTTTCATTCTGTATAGAATACCATTCATTATATGATTATATCACATCACATCCATTGTTGGTGAACTTTTTTATTCTTTACAGCTTAGGGTCATAATAAATTCTTCTGTGAACATATTTGGCTTTTGGTGTATATGTATTTAATTCCCTTTATATATACTTAGGAGTAGAATTTCTAGGTCCTGGGGCCTGTGTATGTTTGGCCAGCTTTGGTAGATACTACCAAGCAACTCAGAACTTGAACAGCATGAGATAATTCATTCTGAAGGGAAAGAACTGAATATTATCAATTAGTGATGGTTCAGACCAGAGAATCAGGGAAACTATGGATGTTGTGAAAACTGGGAGTCCAAATGTAATGCATAAACAAAAGCTTTAGCTACAGCCCAAATTTTAATATTAATACCAGATAAATGTAATAAATGTGAGATTGCCTTTAGCCGCAGTATTGCCTTATAACTAAAGAGAGGGAGACAACCACCATCTTCCTTGTTCAACATGAGAGAATTCTGATAGAGAAAACCCCTATGAATAAAATGAAGGAGGCAGAAGATAACCTTTACCTATAGCCTATGTCTTACTGGTAATATAAAAATGATGACTGTGGAAAAACTTCATCCATAGCTCAAATCTTATACAACACTGTAAAATTCACATTAGATGGGAACTCTTCAAATGAAATTATTGTAGGAATGAGTTTATCCATATCTCATTCCTTATATAACACCATAGGATTCATATTAAAGAAAGGAAGGTTAAAAGACCAGCAGATGAGTCCTGTAACTCTAACTCTGCTTCCATAAAAGAAGTCCAACCATACGAAGATCATGCTAGAGTCTATGTGTAGGCACCTTGGTCAGTAACCACAGCTAAACTCCCATCCATCATCTAGTATCTGCCAACAGAGCCATCTTGGACATTGTCAAGTCTTCAGATACTGGAACCAATTGGAACCATGTGACAGACCCCAAGCAATAACTGCTCAGTTGAGGCTGTCTGAAATTCCTGACCCACAAAATGGTTATATCTTTTGACTTAAATTTGATAGATTAAAAGGAGAAATAATCTTGTCAGTATATTTATATTATGAAAATTGAAAATGAAGGTATGAATATTTGGGTTCCAGAGTCAATGAGGAAAAGAGGTAACTACTTGGCGATTTTGACATGAACAAAAACTGGCTCAAAAATACAGTTGAAGACTTGGCTATGTTTTTGGTTTACAATTATATACCTAAAAACAGTTCAATTAGGAGTTCATATATGTCTCTTTTTTCTCATTTTTTGGCAGTAAATTTGACTTAACAACGTAGTTAGCTTAATTTCAAGGTCACAAATCTAGCTATACCAAAACAAACAAAAAAAAAAACTGGAGGGTATCAAGGTGGCATGCTAGGTAAAAGCAGGGTTCGCCTCCTCTCAGAACCACATTAAAATTACATCAAATTATAAAATGATCAATGTGGAGAACCACCTGAAGTCTAATTAATTGTAACATGTACATCTGAGGATATCAAGAAAAAGCCACATCGAGACGGGTAGGAGTGGCAAGGATGACTTGTCCTGCACCAACCAGCACATGGCCATTGAGCACCAGGAGAGAGAATGCAGCTGCAGAGGGTCCCCCCGCCCCAAATGAGAGAGGAGTCCAAGCCCCATACAGAGGCGCCCCAGCCCAGAGGTGCAGCCCCAGGAAGAGGAGTTCCCACAAAATCTGACTATAAAAATCAGTGGGGATTCTGGCCATCCGGGGGAGACAGAAGGAACCTGAACACCCAGATGTCCAGCTTAAAGGGCCCACACACAGTTTCGCTTGTAGACATGCACCCTGGCAGCTTGGGAGGTGCAAGAGACATAGTAGTCTCTTGGAAAGACTGAGTAGTGTGGAACCAGAGAGAGGGCTAGAGGGATAGCTGCCATCGTTTCTTTGTCGGTCCTTCCTCCAGGGTAGTCTACAGATGGGCACCATCTTGCCTGTATTGATCCCACTCCCTTCATAGCCAACTCTGAAGCTGCATCGGTTCAGTGAGATTGGCAAGCCCCAACCCATGTCTCCCTGGGGCCCCACTCCATCCAGCCCACAAATTGCCCCTGGCAGGCCCCTGCTGGCAGCTGCTTCCACCCTGCCCCTTCCCAGGTCCATGAATTCTTGGGAAGAAACAAACCTTGGCTAACAGAGCCCACACATTTCAAGAGAGACATGTGATGCCTGACCACCGGTGCCAGCTTGAGCAGCAGTCTCTTGGGCAGATTGCGGGGCTCTGTGGGCCTGATGCAGAAGGCAGCTGGCTTTGCTATAATCTGTGACTTTTGCAGGAGCCCATGGACTCAGAACTGGCAGCAATTCCTATGCCGTATTGGCCCGACAGAATTGGTTTGTTACACCCTGTGTCTCCCTGAGAACCCACACCACCCAATCCACAAATTACCTGCGGCAAATTCATTCCCAGGCAGCCAGTCTCACCCTTTGCTTTCCTTGAGCCACGAACTTGACAGCAGACAACAGCATTCAGTTCATGCAGCCCACTCAGGGCCCATGCATGACCCATGCATCCCAGGAGAGACTTTTGGTGGTAGGCCACAAACCCTATCCCAAGCTACAGTATTTCTTGAACAGATCTCAGGCATCTGCAGGCCTGAGACAGGCAGTGGCTGGTCTTACTTTGATCTGAGACTTTCACAGGAAGCCACACAGCACTGGCATTAAAACTGACACTGCATTGGCTGGGGGAATCTGCTCGCTATACCCCAGTGACTTCCTGGGTCCCTGAACCACCCAACTCATGTACTCCACAAAGGCTTTCCCAACTGCAGTCTTACGGACAACTGGTAGGCAGCCTCAGGCCTTGAGGCTCACTGGTTCTTTTGCTAAGCTGTCCCAGGCTTGGTACTGGGGGTAACCAAACCTTAGCTTGCAGCATTGTCTCTCCCACTTGCCTTTATATCCAGGATAGGCAGCAGCCATCCGTGGATTGCTTTCTAGCTCCAACCAGGTAGCCCCAAGCAATCAGTGGCAGCAGCTGACCTTGTCCTACTCAGGAGCCCCTCCCAAGGGGCCACAGAACCAACACACACACAGGCTGGCACCAGACTACAACAGAGCAACACCTGACTAGCACCATAGATGGTACACCCAAAGAGTAGTTTCAACAACTACACAAACTGCTAGGGCAAATCTCACTCCAAGGAGTCAGCCCCACACAACAACTGATACCTTGTGATTGTGGCCAATCCTCACAGCCTAAGAGTCAATCCCATCCACTGACATGCTAACAACAATAAAGCCTTAGCTACAAAAGGAGAACACACATGACCCACACAAAGAATATCCCCAGAGCTCCTGGTGTAGGTGCTTAGGGAGACTGCACCCCTGGGCCACACAGGACACATACTGCTCAAGGCTAGGAGGTATAACAAATCTTCCTAACACATAGAAACAAACACAGGCAACTAAAATGAGAAACGTGCTACAAATGAAACAAGAAAACTCCAGAAAAAAAATTAAACAAAATGAAGGAAAGGGGGGGCGGGGGGACCATAAATACAAATAATAAAATGGCAGTAACTGTACCTATCAATAATCACTTTATTCTTATTTTTAAAAAAATTTTTTCAATTATAGTTGGCATATGATATATAAGTTTCAGATGTACAACATAGTTATTAGACATTTATATAACTTACAGAGTGATCACACCAATAAACCTAGTACCCATCTGACACCATACATAGTTATAACATTAGTAGCTATATTCTGTATGCTATACTTTACAACCCCATAACTGTTTTGTAGCTACCAATTTGTACTTACGAATTTCTTCCCCTTTTAAACCCACCCTCAATCCCCATCCCATCTAGCAACCATCAAATTGTTCTCTGTATCTATAAGTTTGTTTCCGTTTTGTTTATTTTGTTCTTTAGATTCCACATGTAAGTGAAATCATATGGCATTTATCTATCTAATTTACTCCACTCAGCATGATACCCTCTAGGTCTATCATTGTTGCAAATGGCAAGATGTTATCCTTTTTATGTCTGGGTAATATTCCATTGTATATATATACCACTGCTTCTTTATCCATTCATCCATTGATTGACATCCATGTTACCTCCATACCATGGCAGCCAGGGAAAAGACTATTATAAATGATGCTGCAATGAACATGGATTCACATATCCCTTCAAAGTAGCGGTTTAGGTTTCTTTGGATAAATATCCAGAAGTAGGATTACTGGGTCTTTCTTTGTCTCTTGTCCTTGCCTTTGTTTTAAAGTCTATTTTATCTAATATTAATATTGCTAGCCCAGCTTGTTTGTTTGTTTCCATTTTTATGAAATACATGTTTCATCTCTTTAATTTCAATCTGCATGTCTTTCAAGCCAAAGTGAATTTCTCAGCAGCATATGTAAGGGTCTTATTTTCACATCTATTCATCCACCCTATTATTTGAATGAAACATTTAATCAACGTTTAAAGTAATTGTTGATAGATATAATTGTTGCCATTGAATTTTTTTTTTTAATCTTTTTTCTTCTTAAGTCCCTCCAACATTTCCTGTAATACTGGCTTGGTGATGATAAACTCCTTTAGCTTTTTCTTGTCTGGGAAGCTCTTTATCTGTCCTTTGATTCTAAATGATAGCTTTGTTGGGTAGAGTAATCTTGGTTATATGATCTTGCTATTCATCACTTTGAATAATTTCTGCCAATCTCTTTGGCCTGCAAAGTTCCTGTTAAGAAATCTGGTGACAGTCTTACAGGAGCTTCCCTATAGGTAACTACTTGCTTTTCTCTTGATACTTTTAAGATTCTTTCTTTGTCTTTAACCTTCATCATTTTAATTATGATGTGTCTAAGTGCGGACCTGTTTGGGTTCATCTTGTCTGGGACTACCTGTACTTCCTAGATTTGTGTGTTTAATTCCTTCGCCAGGTTGGGGAAGTTTTCTGTCATTATTTCTTCAAACAGGTTTTCAATTCCTTGCTCTCGCTCTTGTCCTTCTGGTATCCCTATGATGCAAATGTTGGTATGCTTGATGTTGTACCAAGGGTCTCTTAAACTATCCTCATTTTTTGGATTATTTTTTCTTGTTTCTGTTCTAATTGGGTGATTTCTGCCA